TGCGCTGCGGGTCGAACGCTTTCCGTTTCTGCAGCCGAACCCGAATCATCCCCAAAAACCGAATTCTATTGTATCGCATAGGTGTATGTATCGGTATTGTATACCTCTAGAATACGTATACAGCGTACAGTTTGACGCTGTACAAAATACCGATTTCTAGAAATCATTATTATATAATCGTTATAATGGTTTAATTTTCAGACGTACGTGTGCGTGTGTGCGTGCGCGTGTCGGTGTGCGTGTGTACCTTACTACCTACGCACGCCGCACGTTATAAAGGAATAAATACCGTGACCAATACGTGATCTATAGAAACAGACAGAGAGAGAGAGAGAGAGAGAGACGGACGGACGGACGGACGGACAGAGAGAGATTGAAAAAAAAAAAAAAACTCGAAAAAATATCGTGATTTCGTGCGTTTTTGTTACGATATTACGGATTTTCGTGTATAACACCGTATATTGTTGTTTATTTTACGGAATCCCGAAGCGGAAATGTCCTTGGACGTATCAAGGCCGAATACGCGCGCCAGAGATTCACATTTTTTATTATGTTTCCATGTGGGCCCGTGTTATTGTTGTAACTCAGTTCTGGTGTTTTAGATGGTTTCGGGGCGACTCTCTCGTGCATTCGATCCGAGAGCGTTCCGGGATGACCGAAATGTATACATTATAACAATAACAATAACAATAACGATAATAACGATAATAGCGTAACGCGCGTATAAATGCCCGGTGCGACAGTCGAAAACGCTGTTGCGGCGCGGCAATCGTCGCCGCGTTTGTCCGGATTCGTCACGAGGTTCCGGCGTTCCGGGCAATCGTCCGCACAGGGGCGTACGCGAAACACCCGTAATATCGGCTCTGCGCCGGAGCCCGTCGGTAAACTCGCGCCGGCCGGCGCGGCAGGCGTATGTGAGTGGGGGAGGGAGGGGGCTCGGCTCCGATCCGTCGGGTTTTCCGCGGAAAGTGCACCGCCGCGGCCGCGACGTCCGTCGCGTCCGCGTCGACTCCGGCTTTACGCGCCGGGGTCCGGTGTTTCCGAGACGGAAACCGTACCGATTGTTTTTGGCTACGACAACACGCAATATCGGATACCCGCGTTTCCATACGTTTCCTGCGTTACCTCCGTATCGTCGTGATCGTCATCCGTTTCCGTACCGTACACCGCGACGACGAATCGCCCGCGCGCGCGCAGTGTCTCGGGCCGGTACCCCCCCCNCCCCCCCCCCGATTCGAGTGTCTTGAATACGTTCGTTCGAATCGGATATACAACGCTACTGCCCGTACCGCGGTATGGCGTCGAGTACCCGTCTGGATACCGATTTCGGAGTATCCGGCCAATAGGCTCCCGAGAGAAAGACAAGTCGGGCGATTTTTCCGCCGGACTTTCAAAACAGAACAATTTCAAATCGAAAGCGGTTTTATAAAAAATACGGGGAATTTCTCGGGAATTTCGAAAAGTGTTTCGAGCGAATAACCACCGCGCGCGTAAAAAACGGAATTTTTTCTTTAAATTTGCATGCATCTCGTACAGTAAAACTGTTTACATAATAGTGTATCTAATATCATGTATCTGAATCTTGAAAATCTATGTATCCATGTGGTAACGGATGCTCACAGGTATGCTCGTTTCGAAGTATCTTGCCCGTGCTTGGGTTTTAACAAGATGTGTTTACCTTCCGTCTTTGTAAATCAAGTAATGTCTACCGGAAATCGTGATCCAATCAAACATTTTATACGAACTTTCTCGTAGCGGATTTTCATCCGGCTGGTGAATTGAGACGGTCAATTTTTGTTAATTTCCGTGTTGTTTTGGCAACTATAGGGACAAAACGCTACTAGTCTATAAAATACTCTGTTCAGAATCGTTTTTCGTACCAATGGTTTATCGTTGTGTACTAAATTACTCAATAATATCATATCCCCCAGTACCGACAGTGACATATCCGTCAGCTGTATTAGGTTCCCTTTTTATTTTTTAATTAAAATTTTTTTTCATTACTTATAATTGTAATTAATATCTTTTATTATAATATTATACTCGTCTCGAGATTAGATTCCGCGAGTTGTTTTTGTCTCAATCGAGTTGAAGTGAGATGTTTTTTTCTTTTTTAAAATTTTTTTTGTTCATATTATACGGCAATCGAGTGATGTTTGAAGTAGGTAGTATAAAAAAAAAAAAAAAAAAATTAATAATATATTATACTATTTAATACAATAATCTAGGGTACCTAATCAGCTAATTGACACTATTTGTTTTTCGTATATTATGACCACGGCGTGGCCGAATTATTAAACTTGGCAATTTACATTTTAATTAGAATAATTATATTTTATTAAAATATTGTGCACGTTCGCCGCCCGCCTTAAAAAATTGTCTCGGTCATAATATATTATACCCGTCGTCGACGAGAAACGAGCGGTGCGCGCATAATAATTAATTATAATTTAAATTACAAAAAAAAAAAAAAAAAATACGTTCTACACTTCGGACACCCGATGTTTTTTTTTTTTTTTTATAATTTATTTTCGACCGCCGAAATAATATCGTATACTCGGACCTCCGCCCCGGACTCTGCCGTGTAGCACACGAGTCATCGAGTATCACAATAATATTTTCTACTACCAGAAACCGCGACCGATTGTCGCGGGTCGGGATTTCTCGTCCACGAATATTGTTTGTGGACGGAAAAAAGAGCGTTGAAAAAAAAAATAAAAAACAAACAAACGCACCGACGCGACACACAGTATTAACTGAAAAATACAGACGAACGGACCACCGCGTTTCGCGTATTATTTCGCCATTCATAATGCAAATAATTATTGTTGTTGCAGTTGTCGTAACCGTACGCGACAATAAATTATCGTTATCGGAAACGTGTCCGAGTAAGAATTCCGAGGAAAAATCGCGTTACGAGAGTGTCGTGCCGCGTATGCGCTCTTGACGTTAAAAACTCGGGTAACTAACCGACTATATCATACCGTTTACCCGTGAAAAAAAAAAAAAAACAACACACACACACACACATATAGGTATAAAATATAAGCAATTAATGTATTACAGATATTGTTATACCTGCTGCAGCGCAGCAGACTTCAGTCGGCGATAATGAATCACGTTGAAATTCGAGTACTTGTAATAATATAATAATATAATAGTATATGATATTTTTTTTTTTACAGATAATGTTTTTAAACGTTTTTCGACGGTAAACACTGTACACGGTATAATAATATTAAGCGTACGATATATTACACATACAACTATATATAACTAACCGACTATATCATACCGTTTACCCGTGAAAAAAAAAAAAAAAAAAGTCGATACTGTGTACACGGGCGTATTATAATAGGCAACTGTTGCGGAAGACATTGTAGAATATTATGGGTAATTGAGTTCGTATACACTCGTACTCGTAATGCGACCATAAATCGTTGCGACCGAAAAACGATTCTGAACGGAATTGTGTTGCAGTCGTGTTTGTTCTCGTATTGTTATTAACGGCGTATAAGAAGGGACCCTGCGGAAATCGACCGAAAACAAAATGTTCGAACCTAAGGGCTTAGCCCGCAAAACATTTCGTTAAACGTTTCGATAATAAAGTACCGCCGTCGGGCAGGTTTATTCGCGTTTCTTTTTACGGTATATGTCATGAGCGTTTATACTAACCGGAAAAAGCGTATTCCGAGAGGAGAAAAAAAAAGCTCTCAGCAACCTACGCTCAGGTTCTAAAATAATAATAACAAGATACGTTTTATAATATTATTGTAAAACGCGGGCGCCCGCGGAGACTTTTTACGGCGGGGCGGACAGAGCGACTAAAAATACGTTTGTCTAGGAACACACCTTAGGCCGGTACTGCTTGGAAAATATAAATTATTTACAGAAAAAATAAAAAAAGGAACCCGCTCCCGTTATAGCACTGTCGCGCGTGTAAAAAAAAAAAAATTTAATTTTACTCAATAAATAACAATCGTGTTGACAATTTCGCGCCGGATAAAATCGGTTCGAATGTACACAGCCGATGTAGCGTACACTATATAGGTGGGCTTATGTTTTTTTTTTTCCTCCCGTCCGCATAACCGAGCAGGGAACTCGGAAATCGACTGCAAAAAAAAAAAAATAAAAAAAAAATAAGCCCGTTATAATATTTATAATCTTTTATTTATTTATACGGGCGCCGACCTTTGATTCAAAGGCTTTAAACGTATTTGTCATAGTACTAACGGTTTACAATATACTCACGGCACACGATTTTTTTTTTTTTTTTTTAAAACAATTATTAACATTGATACATGGTCGAACCTCAACGACGGAACACGACAACAGCGTTGATAAACGTCAAATTGACCGGTCGTTCGCGTAATCGTTGGTGCCGGGTACGGCGAAAAGGGGTTTCGGAACGGGCGGCGAACCGGGAGACTTCGACGTCGGCCGGCGAACGCAACTCTGGAAGGTCTGTTTTGCCGGACGTTGATATTATAATATCGTTCGACAAAGGCGTACGCTTAAAACGGGTCTGCGACACGCTTAAGAGTCTCGTCCAAGACTCTCGGCCACAGGGGCGTAATGGTCGCGTCGCGAGCGAAGAATTTCGAATGACAAATCGGCAATACCTAAAAACCTGCGTCTCTTACATCCCATTACAAACAGCATTCCGTGACGATCCGCGCGTTTAACCGGGGATTTGTATTTTTTTTGTTTTTTTATTTTTTTTAAAAGCATGATACAACGTTCAACAATGTTATTGCTCGGGAACGGGTCGTGCGCGTCGCACGAGGATTTCCGTACATTTAAAATTTTTAAACCGTCGATTCGAAAGTCGCAATATGTACAAATGAGTTTTTCCAGTGAACTATGCGCACCGATTTCAAACTGTAAAAAAGAAAAAGTCCAATTTTTCGTAAACTATATTATTTACGATGACGAAATTCGAGCGAAACGTTTTGAAGCGTCCAATACGTTCCTGCAGCAATTGTAATAATAAAGTAGTAGGAACGTCGAACGCATATAAACAACGACTTTCGCGAAAAACGATTATCGCTCTCGGGACCGCTGCAGATTTTCGTGTATTATTATTTCAAAAAAAAAAAAAAAACCACGCGGTCGACGATCGATAACTGCATTACAACAACAACAAAAAAAAAAAAAAACCGCTTATTTACTTCCCGAGAAACAACAACAAAACCGAACGTTATAGAAAAAAAAAAAGTTAAAAAAAAAAGTGCCGGCGCCGCCTCGGGTTCGTCGCGTGTGCGTCGCGCGGCACAACCTGTTCGCCGGTTAATTATTATAATACGATCGGAGGAAATGTGTTGGAAAAAAAAAAGTAAAAAAAAAAAAAAGACATCGCGTCGTCGCCGCGCGTACATACATAATAATAACGATAATAATAATATTGTGTGTGTGTGTGTGTGTGTGAGTTGGGTGTAATGATATTATGTACGATTGAAAAAAAAAATGTAAAAAAAAAAACTGAAAAAAGTTATGAATGAAGAGCTACGCTCGCGCGTACATACACACGCGTATACACACACACACACACACACACACACACAATAATATGTTGGCAAATAAACGCGTGCGAACGCTGCGCACACACGTACACCCACACATACGGAAATTTTTTACGAATATTATTATTATTATTACGGTGTGTGTACGTATGCATACTATTTATTATTTTTTTTTTTTCATTTTCCTTCTTTTACCGATCGTTTCAGCTGCCGCCGCGGTCGTTTATAGTTGCCAGTGTGCTGTACACGCACACACACACACACACACACACACACGTACACACACACTCGAACAAACGCGCGCGCGCCCGCGCGCACACCACACACGTACAACACGGCCGACCAGCAGTTCTATTTTTTAACAACGCGCGTGGACGGAAAAAAAAAAGCCCACCGGCCCCTCTCTCCCGCACTCGCCCCCGACCACTCTCTCTCGCTCTGTCTCACTCGCGCTGCCCCCTCGCCGCCGCCGTCGCCTTCGTATAGTCGTCGTCGTCGTCGTCGTCGTCGTCGCCGTCGTCCATCCCCACCCTATCGGATTTTTTTAATGGATCCCAAACTACACCGTATAGTAATACGGGCGGCGGCGGGTCGGCGGTGTCTCGGCGCACGAGGGGGAACGGCGGCAGAGAGAGAGAGAGAGAGAGCGAGCGAGCGAGCGAGTGCGGAGCGAGAGCGGGCGAGCGCGCGCGAACGCGGAGGGGAACGGTATGGCGGCGGCGGTGTGTAGGAGGGGAGTCCGGCTCGCTCATTGTGACACCCTACCATCATCGCCGCCGGTTTTTTTTTTTTATTTTTTATTTTTTTATTTTTTTATTTTTTTTTTTTTTTTTTTT